CCCCAAAAAACCCCGGGGGGCTCCCCCCCCCCCCCAGCTCATCTCTGCTGCTCCATGCTCTGCTGCAGAGACCAATCTCCCTGTCAAATTCCATTACTGGCTCCTGAGTATTCCCAGCGTGATGGGAGGAAGCCTCCAGGTGCCAAACCAACCCCCAGCTTCTTTTTTTAAGGAGAAATCCAGCCGTTTCCAGCATCTCCTGGCTTTGGAAGGCACCTGCCACAGGACACCTGCTTGGGGGACATTTGGGACAAACCTGGCCGGGGAGATGGATCCAAGTCCTCCCCACCTCCCTGCTCAACACTTCATTTATCAGTTTATTCACCAGTTTGTCCCACTGATAACAGAGCTGAGGAAGCCACTTCTCCTGCACACAGGTGCAGAGCAGAGGGGAAGCCACTTCCAGTCCCCTTTCGGGGGCTTTTCCCCTACAGAAAATCAGCCAGAGCTCCCCCTGCTCCCAGATCTTCCTGCTGGGATGGGGATGCCCAAGGACAAGAGGCAGCACAGTTTGGGGGTGTGACACCTCCAAAACAGCTCTGGAGGGTGGGACCTGCTTCCAGAGGAGAATCCCAGGGCACGAACAGAATGAAGGAAGCTGCCACTGGGGAATATTAAATCTTCCCTTCCTGTTTATTCCCAGCTCGTGAAAGCAGCAAATAAATCCCAGTTTCGTAAAGAAAGAAAGATCTGAAATTGCTTTTAGAACAACCACAGACTTCAGGGGGATTTGCTGTTTCAAAATACCTGCTGATCCTGCCGAGAGCGTATCCGCACGGCTCAAAACAAATCCCATTTAGAGGAGGAAAAAAAGCTGCTGGAGCAAAAAAGGAATCTCCCTGGTGATTGGATTTTTCCTACCAATGAGACACCACTCAGCCAACTGCAAAAAGCAACATAAAGCACATTTCTGATGGCAACAGCAGCATAAACACAGGGACTTTAGACAGCAGAGAGAAGAAAGAAACATATGGTGCCTTGCAAGGGAGCAATATTGGGATGGGAGGCATCAGGGACTTGACAAACACTTGGAAATGCAGCTGTAGTTTGAGTAACGCACCCATAGGCTGGATTTTCTGGGAAAAAAAAAAATCCTGGATGGGCATTAAGTCGAAGTTAAAATATCTGAAATACAGGTGGGGAATAAACTACGATCCTGCTGGTACACGGCGGGCTGGGATAGAGCCACAATCCCCCAAAACTAAACTTGCAAATAACTGGGAGACTCCCGAAGCCCAGCTTGCGGTGACACGTGGAACACCTTCCTTTAAAATCAGGATTTTTCCCACATCCCCCACGGCAGCAGGCCCTGTTTCCACCACAGCCCAGCAGGCGTGGGCTCCCGGGAGCAGGAGGGAGGGCGGGCTCACCGGGAGGTGGGTGAACACGGCGAAGGTGCTGCGCAGGAAGCCGATCAGATCCACCAGGTAGTCGCTGGCCCGGCTGCCCGGCTCCAGGGCCGTCCAGTCGTAGTCGGCCAGCTGCAGGAACTGGTCGATCTTCTGGTTGAGGTTGGTGTAGATCTCCTCCTCGGCGGCGTGACGGGCGTCCTGGGAATGGGACAGGATTGTGGGATGGGGGTGAAATCTGACAGGGGATGGGGGCTCCAAACCAGCAAAATCCTGCGTGGGATGGGGGCTCTAAACCATCAATGTCCTACATGGGATGGGGGCTCCAAACCAGCAAAATCCTACACAGAATAAGGGCATTAAACCACCAAAATCCGACACGGGATGGGGGCTTCAAACCAGCAAAATCCTACGTGGGATGGGGGCTCCAAACCAGCAAAATCCTGCATGGGATGGGGGCTCCACACCACGTGAATCCTACGTGGGATGGGGGTTCCAAGCCAGCAAAATCCTGCGTGGGATGGGGACTCCAAACCAGCAAAATCCTGCATGGGATGGGGGCTTCAAACCATCAATATCCTACATGGGATGGGGGCTCCACACCACCAAAATCCTACATGGGATGGGGGCTCCACACCACCAAAATCCTACCTGGGATGGGGGCTCCACACCACTGGGACCCCACAGGGGACAGGGGCTCCACACCACCCTCTAACAGGGTGGGAGCTCCACCCAACCTTTCGACTGGGATTTGGCACAATCCCAAAGCTCAGGGCAGCAACCACGGGGCTGCTGCAGCCTCAGGCTGGTGGGACAGGGACCACCAGGCCGTGGTGGGCAGGACCAAGCTGGATTCTTGTGACCTGAGGACAAATCCAGAGGAGATGGAGGAGAGACTGGCTCCAGTGGTGGGATCCTGGTGCTGGTAAGACCAAGGTGGTGTTCAGCCCCTGGATGGGCAGTTCCAGAGCTGGTGATCCCTGTGGGTCCTCAGAATATCCCGTGATTCTGAGCTGGGAGAGGAACATCCCCTATGGAAACCCCACCAAACCCAGGGCAGGGCTGGGCTTCAGGAGCCTCCCTGCCAGAACAAGGGCAGGGCACTCAGCTTTAGGCCAAACACATGGATAAAGCCAGGATGGAATTCCCTGGGGACACGAGACTGAGTCACCCCAAGGCAAAGCCTCACCAAACCCATCCCTGCTGTTCCCACCTCTGGATCTCCACGGGACACCCCACACTTGACCCAACTGGATCCCATATAAAGCACCTGGGTGAGCGCTCCTGGAGTGGGATTTAAAGGCTGGAAAATGTGGGAGTTTCTGTCAGCCCTGATTTTTAGGGGATAATCCTAAAAGGAGTGGAAAGATGGAGAAATATAAATTCTGAAAATCTTCTTCCTGGGTGGAAGAGGAACCTGGTGCCTATGACACAGCACTCCAACAGCAAAGTGAGGATTTATTTAAATAAGAAATACCAAGCTTTTGTTTAAGATCTCCTTAATCCTTTAGCTAATTAAGGCTGTAAATTAAGGACACAACCTGCCATGATCTCAACGGGAGCAATTCTCCGAAGGACAAACCCAAAGCGATGGCGCAACCTCCCCAAAACAGGCTGGAATCATCCTTGGGCTCAGCCCAGCTGAGGCCTCCTGAGCAGATCCCTCGCAGCCCCCAGCCAGGGCCGGGACCCTGCCCTGCTCACCTTGAAGGTGGTGGTCCCGTAGAGCTTGGTGGTGTGCACGGTCTCGGGCAGCACGTTGGTGATGTTGGTGATGAACTCCTCCAGGAACTTGCAGGATTTCTCCAGGTGGGTGGTGTTGATGATGATCTGCACCAGCTGGGGAGGCACAGAAGGGTTTCAGCCCCGCTGCCAGGGCCCTGCCAGGGGAGGGGATGCCAACTCCAGGCAATCCTGGCGTGAAAAGCTGACGCCGTGCAAACACCCCGAGCTTTGCTCCTCCTTTAACAACACCTAAATCCACCATAATTTTGGGGGGGGGGAAGCATTTCCCATGACAGCCACTAATACCACGGGAGGCGACTTTTTCTTTTTAAGGACTTTCCTACATTGAGCTGTCACTCAGGGCTCCCCAAAAAAAAACTGCCAGGACACATCAGGAGGCTCCTGGCTGCCACTGAACCCGAAAAATACCCCGAACTTGAGTGACACCGAGCAGCATCACACGGGCCCTGAACAAAGGAACCACGAGGTTTGGCTCTGGCAGGTGTGGGGTGAGCAGCTCTCTGCCAGCCCCTGGGGCAGCAGAACGCCCTGGCTTGGTGTCATTTCATTGCTGGAAATGTCATTTCATTGCTGGAGCGTGGTGGGGCTGTCTGCAGCCACCTCCCATGCAGGAAGGGTTTGGAAACGCTCCCAGACCTGAAGGAGAGTGGATTCATCAGCAATTTCAAAGGTGCAGGCACAGAAATTGTGAAGTGACACCACAAGGATCCCAGCACTGGTGCTGGTGACACCTTGGGAGGTTCAGCCTGGACATGGGGAAGGAGAAGAGACACTGGAAAGGTGCAGAAGTGGAACTGGGTGTCCAGAGAAGCTATGGGATGTCTGGGAGAAATGAGAAGTTGGGAAGGGAAAGCCTTGGTTGACACGAAGCAAGGCAGCAATAATTAAGTAAATAATTAGTAACTCCTTGTTTAAATCCCAGAGGTCCCACCTGTCCAGGGGACCTGCAGATTGACATGGATTAAAATCATCAGAAACCTGATTTTGTACAAAAACAAGAATGGACCACGGAAAGAAAATCCCAAATTAGGGTTTGTGCTGCAGCAATGTGCTGAATTCACTCAAACATCACCTGAAAATGAGGAATGCTCTCCCATTCCCTCACATTTCCCTCTTGGATCCTCTCTGGTCCTCCCTGAAGTCCTCTGACTTTAACTCATATTTCTAACGCTGCCCAAAATGAAGAGGGCAAAATTCACAACCAATAGCGAAGAAATCTTTTCGCTTTCCCACAAGCTGCAGTTCCTCGCTTTGCACAACAACTCTGAGCAGTTTTCCAGGCAAATATTTAATGGAATGCTCCAAGCCAGCACCTCTAAAGGTGCCTGAAGGAGCTCCAAGGGACCTCCTGCCACCCTGCCCCGGAATCAGACAATCCAGGAATGGTTTGGGTGGGAAGAGACCTCACAGATGATCTAATTCCGACCCCAACACCTCCCACTATCCCAGGTGGATCCAAGCCCCAGTGTCCACCCTGGCCTGGGACATTTCCAGGGATCCAGGGGCAGCCACAGCTGCTCTGGGAATTGCAGCCCAGCCCCTGCCCACCCTCCCAGGCAGGAATTCCTTCCCAATTTCCCATCCATCCCTGCCCTCTGGCCATTCCCAAGGGAATCCCAATCCCACCTCTGTCAGTCCAACGTTTTTCCTCTTGATGACGTTCTGTAAACAGTTGCTCAGGGTCCGGGTCAGCAGCAGATTTGTGGATTTTCTGATCATGTCATCGACTTCCGTGGAGCTGCCAAGTAAAATTTAAAGAGGCATTTGCAAGATGCTCCATGGAAAGAAAATCCCTGGGAATTCTCCTCATCCTCCTTCCCGACTCTCCCCTGCCTCAGCCCTGAGTAGCCCTCACAGGAGCTGATGTTTGAAATGCATCAAAATACAACAATTTAGGCTTTTTTATCCATGTTTCAGGAGGATTGACACCTGCAGATCCCACATTCCTCAGCTTCCCATCCAAGAGGGGCTGGTCCAGCCCAAGGAAGAGTCACCCATGGGATCAGCACCACCCTACCCCAGCACTGGGGGTTGGACGTTCAGTACAAGGGAAGAGATCTCCAGTGGTGAAACCCCAAATCAAATCCCCCAAAATTCCCCTCTCAGCACCTTCCAGGCTTTTAGACAAAATTACAGAACCATGGAATGGTCAAGGTAAGAAGGGACCTTAAAAGGAACCTGGAAAAATTGCAAAAGTGAGTGAAGTCACAGGAAATGGGTTCAGAAGGACACATTTCCAATGATCCCTGGATTTCCATACAGAGACTCCTCAGCACAGCACAGCTCCCCTCTCCCAGAATCCCAGAATGGTTTGGGTGGGAAGGGACCTGAAATCCCATCCTATTCCATGGGCAGGGACACCTCCCACTGTCCCAGCTGGATCCAACCTGGCCTTGGGCACTGCCAGGATGCAGGGGCAGCCACAGCTGCTCTGGGAATTCCAGCCCAGCCCCTGCCCACCCTCCCAGCCAGGAATTCCTTGCCAAGATCCCAGCCCAATCTCCCCTTTGCCAGTGGCAGCCATTCCCTGTGTCCTGTCCCTGCAGGCCTTGTCCCCAGTCCCTCTGCAGCTCTCCTGGAGCCCCTCCAGGGACTCTGAGCATTCCCTGGATTTTTCCCTTCTCCAGGGGAACATTCCCAGCTCTCCCAGCCTGGCTCCAGCCCTGGAACACCAGGCTGGAAACTCCTGCAGCCCATCCCTGTCCTTTCCCAGGTGTCTGGGGCAGCAACCCCGCTGGAATTTGGGGATTCAGCCTCTCCGAGGTGCTCACGGTGCCACCTCTCCTTTCTCCAGGAGGTTTTGCAAACCCCCCCTGCCAGAGGCTCCTTGGATCTGTGCTTGGCTCTGGATTAGCCCTGACAGCAGTGGGAATTGTCTCCTGCAGGAGGGGCAGGAGAGGGAATTCCCCAGGGGAAGGCTGGGAAGTAACTCTGATCCTCCCGGTAAATGGAGCCCCTGACCTTTGGCTCCTTCTCCTGCTCCACCTGACAGAGGGGCCACGTCACAAAGCTGGGATTGACGTGGGAAACAAAAGCCAACCTTGAAGTTATCCCAGGAGAAAGGTGGGGGATGCTGCAAGTGGGGGGCGGGAATGGGCTGGATGGGATCTTGGGAAGGAATTCCAGGCGGTGAGGTCCTGGAGTGGAATTCCCAGATTTGCTGTGGCTGCCCCTGGATCCCTGGCAGTGTCCATGGCCAGGCTGGACACTGGGGCTTGGAGCACCCTGGGACAGTGGGAGGTGTCCCTGCACTTTGTATCCCAAGTTCTTCCAGGATTGGGGCTTTGTTTGCAAAAATCCAACCCAAAGCCAAGCCTTGCTGGATTAGAGCTGATCACCCTTCCAGCCACTGTTTTCCAGAGATACTCCCTACTTTCCAATGGGAAATTCCACTGGAAAAAGCAAGGGGGTACTTTTAAAGACAACCTGACGAACTCAACTTGTAAAAAGGCGAAAGTGCTGAGGAGATAAAGGAAACTTTCCTGCTCTAATCCAATTAATAGCGCCAATAATAAAAATTCCAAACCCTACAAACCCACCCGGAGCTCCAAACTTTCCTCAAGTGAGACAACTCCCACATCAAGGAGAACCCTCCCATCCAACAAACACAAGGAGCTGCTTCAACAAAAATAATTAGTGGAGGGGGGGAGAAAAAAATAAAATAAAATGGGAGCTCCCCTTTCCGCCACGGGCTGTGCTGTGCAGGAAAAGGCTTGAAGGGAACTGTCTGGGATAATGACAGCTCCTGTCCCGGATCCCGTGGCAGCTGTGGTGACCTCCAGGCCCCTGTGAGTGACGGGCTGACCCCCAGCACTCCGGGGTGCTCCGTAAATGACAAGGCCAGGGAAAAAAAGAAAGGGAAGAGAAAAGGGAACTCGCTGCCGGCTTTGTAGCCAAGCTTCCTAATAAAACCTAATTCAAGCTGTCAGGGTGAAATGAAGAAAGTGTCAACAGGGGTTTGCAGAGAAATATTCCAAATGTTTGGCTCCGAGAGCTGCAGCGGGGCTCCCCTCCCCCCGCTGCTCCAATGTGGAAAATCCAATGTGGAAAGGAATTTTAATAACGGGTGCAGAGGGAGCCCCGGGAGGGACCCACGGGGACACCTCTGCTCCCTGGGCTGCCAGAGCCACTCATCCCGGCCACGGGAATGGGCTCTGGAAAGGGACAGGGGCCACGGGGACCCCGGGGTGAAGGGCCCTGGGAGGCAGGAGCAGAGAGGAGAAGCTGCCTCAAGGATGGGGTGGAACACGGGGGAGAAACTCCTGAGCTCCCAAAGCAACCCACAGGGAAAGGGACTCTCCAAATCAGCATTCCTGGCTCCAAGGAGAGCAGGAAAATCCTGGAGAGCCCGGGGCAGGCAGCAGAATGGGCACTGAGTTCCCAGAGCTGCCCCAGCTCCACAGCAGCCACGGGATGGGAGGGAAGGGACCTTAAATCCCATTTGGATCCAACTCCAGGGACACCTCCCACTGTCCCAGGTGGATCCAAGCCCCAGTGTTCAGCCTGGCCTTGGGCACTGCCAGGGATCCAGGGGCAGCCACAGCTGCTCTGGCAATTCCAGCCCAGCCCCTGCCCACCCTCCCAGCCAGGAATTCCTTGCCAAGATCCCAGCCCAATCTCCCCTTTGCCAGTGGGAGCCATTCCCTGTGTGCTGTCCCTGCAGGCCTTGTCCCCAGTCCCTCTGCAGCTCTCCTGGAGCCCCTCCAGGCCCTGCCAGGGGCTCTGAGCTCTGCCTGGAGCCTTCCCTTCTCCAGGGAACATTCCCAGCTCTCCAGCCTGGCTCCAGAGCAGAGGGGCTCCAGCCCTGCAGCAGCTCCAGTGTCAGGTCATGGCCAGGACATGAAGCTCCCAAAGAGGTGGGACTGTCCCCACCCCAACCCAGCCTCGTGTTTGCCCAGGGAAGGGAAGGAGGATGAATCCCTCCAGCCAGACTCTCGTCCTGCATTTCCAAGCCTCTCCCGAGCTGCGAACGCTGCTGATGCAAAGGCAAAGCCCCAGCTGGCAGCTCCTGGCAGACCCCGCTGGTTTTCAGTCTCACACACGTACACACGGGTGAAACGAGCATCAAAGCACCCCGGGATGGAGCAGGGAGGGTAAACACATGGAATATTTTGCAGGCTTTAAAAAAAAAAAAAAAAAAAAATCACATTATTTGTATATAAACTCCCCGAAGAAACAAGAACAACAAAAGCACGAAACCAGCAGCTGAAACTCGTTCCTGACCAAAAATCCAACCCTCGGAGCCTTCCTGACAACACTTTCATGGAACCACGGGATTCCCATTCCCTGGGGAGGAGTCAGGGGGGTCAGAGGTGCTCCAGCAGCAGGCCCTGGTGACGAGTGGCCCCCACAGCCTCTCTGCAGACACCTGCGTTCAATTATCGATTAAAAGAACGAGGCAGAAACACCTTGGAGGAAACAGCCCACACTGGGATTGTCCTGGGAGTGTGGAATTCCCTGGGAGTGTCCAAGGCCAGGCTGGAGGAGGCTTGGAGCACTGTGGAAGGTGTCCCTGTGATGGGTTTGGAGATGATCCCCGAAGTTCCTCCCAACCCAAACCATCCTGGGATCCCCCGCTACAGGAGAAGACGTGTCCAGCCAAAATCCCACTGCTCCAGAGCCACTTCCAGCCTGGACAGGCTCCATCCAAAGGGGGACAGAGAGGATCCACATTTTAATTGAGCTGTCTCAGGGCACGTTTCCCACCTGAGGTGCAGGTCCTCGGAGAACTTGAGGCAGGCGTAGATGAACTCCTTGATCTGGCTGTAAACCTTGGGCACGAACTCCGAGAAGGGGAACTTCTTTGGGAAGGGTTGCTGGAAAACAGGGGGACAGCTCCACAGGGAGAACAGGGACAGCAGGCCAAGCAATTCTGGGATTTATCAACACTTGAGCCAAGGGGGAGAGCAGATAATCACAAACGGCACCTGGAGCAGGAGGGCTTTGGGGCCATTCCCTCATTCCCTCTCCCAGCTCCCTTCCCTCCCTCCTTGGGAGCACCTGGAATTCCTCCCCCACCATTCACGAGGTGTTTTCCTGCTCATCTCCCCCAGGTGCTGCCCGGTGACCCCAAAACCCAGGAGAAAACAGATTTTTGAACACCAAATTTTCCCAGTTTTTACCCCCAGCACTCAGAGCTGGGAGCAGCTGAACCCCGGGATTGAATTTTGGGTCAGGACACAGAAATCTGAACCCTAAACTGGGATCACCAGGGTTGGATTTGCTGCCTGCCAGGTGTGGAGCACAGGGCCAGGCAGGATTTAGGATTTGGGGGACATCTGGACACACTTTGGTTTTCCAAGCACGCACTCGTGCAAAGGCCAAGAGCCACCATTTTATTGAGCTATTTTTCTCTAAATATCAGACTAAAACCAATAAAGGCCAATCCCAGGGTCCAAAAAGTGGGAATAAAATGCCAGTGGAAGAGGATTTTTCTACCTGTGTGACAGAACACTCTGAGAGGAACACAAATCCCACTTCCCTCATCCACACCAGGAGAAATGCATCCCATGGGAGGAATATTTGTTCTTTCCATTGCTTTACTTTCTCTTTTATTGTTAATAATTTGGATTGGGGGGCTGGTTTAGGGGTTTTTTGGATCCTCTCAGTGCCCACGAAGGGTGTGAGGTTCTCCTGCCCCAGCAGCCAGGCCAGGCCATGCTCTCCATTCCAAGATTTACCTTTTCAAGTTCAGCATCCTGGAATGGGAACTGTCCAACGATTTTCCTATAAACTTCTTCATTTGACACCGGGATGGGGCTGTAGTTATCCGAGTCAAGGATATTTCTGGGAAAACAAAAGAACAGTTAGGGAGACAACTGTGAGGGGGAAGTTTTCCTGCTGGGCCAGGAGATTCCCAGGGGCTGGTGCCAGGCTAAGGTGTGATCCCAAATTCCTGCAGCAGCAGCCAGGGATATCCCAAAGCAGCCACGGCTCAGTGATGGAGCGAGGGCACAGACCATGGAATGGTTTGGGTGGGAAGGGACTTAAATCCCATCCCATTCCACCCCATTCCATGGGTAGGAACACCTCCCACTGTTCCAGGTGGATCCACACCCATTCCACGATTTCACAATTAATCCCTCAGAAACTTCCACACAGGGCCCAGAACCCCTCAGCTCTTTCTGAGCCTCTCACCTGAAGACCCCTGCCCATTTCTTCAGCAGGGTCTCGCTGTACTGGTCCTGGATCTCCAGCAGCATGTCGAAGAGCTGGTTCACGGGGAAGCCGTAGCCCTGCAGAGCAGCAGGAAGGGAGTGAAGCCACCACCAGGCAGCTGGGCATCGCTGTCTGTATTTAACAGGGGCAATTCCTCCTCTGGCACCCCCCTGGTGCAGCTGGGGGGGCTCAGGGGGTGACTGACCAAGGGAGAACACCCAGAGCTGTCCCAGGCCCAAGGCTGGCTGAGGCGGCCACGCCTGCTCCTTGCACAGACCAAACCAGGCTGTCCCTCAGGTGACCCACGCCCAGAATTGCCAAAAAAAAGAGCTCGGCCAGCCCAGCTGAGGCACGGAAGCGCTGCTGGAGAGCCGGGAGCAGCAGGAGGGGCCCCGCGTACCTGGAGCGTGTCGGCGAAGAGCACAATGAGGTTCTTCAGGTCCAACACCAGGCTGGGGTCGGAGCAGTAGGACTGGAGAGGAGGGCACAGAGGAAAACGCGTCTGTGACTGCGTGGCACAGCCCAAAGCCTGCCCCGAGCCCCTCTGTGCCACCAGGGCGCTGACGAGGACCGGCCAGGCCCAGGAGCAGCAGCTTCACCCCCAGCCCATGAGGGCAGGGGTGGCTCTGCTCTCAGGGCTGCCCCAGAGACACCTGAGGTGTGTCTAAAGCTGCCCAGGAGCCTCCAGAGACACCTGAGGTGTGTCTAAAGCTGCCCAGGAGCCTCCAGAGACACCTGAGGTGTGTCTAAAGCTGCCCAGGAGCCTCCAGGCACCGAGGGGAGATGGCTCCCGCGGCGTTGTCACCGTGGGACGGGGTGACATTTAATATTTCCCTCTCGTTTCGTTCGCCTCTCATTTAATATTTACCGTGTTGTGTCTGACGGTAATGAAGCGTCTCAGCCAGGCATCCACGGCCTGGGCTGAGGGAAAACACGCTGGATTCCAGCTCCAGCACGGGGATTTATCCTGCTCCAAACCCCCCAGACACAGCTCAGTGTCCCCAGAGCCACCCCAGTCCCTCCCAAGGCTTCCCAAGAGCAGCCCAAAAAATAAATAAATAAATAAATGAAAATCCCTCCCTGCGCTGAAAAATGTGAAGTTTGAGACAGAGGCTGCCCAAATATAGAATCAGCGATCCCAGGCTGGAAAGGGAGCAGGATTTAAGGCTCGCTGGAAACTCCAGGAGGAACGGCTCCATTAATCAGCAGGAAGGACTGGGAGACACACGTTTTCCATCTCCCTGTCCAAAAAGGAGAGTCAGGAAGAAAGATAATGCCCTGAAGCATCACAAGTGATTAAAGATGTCCCTGTCTGCGGCGAGGAGGAAAATCCAGGGATAAATTTGTCTGCCTTGGAAGGACTGAAATAGCCTCAGCAAGGCGAGACCCTGCCTCAGATCCCAGTTTGGGATGCAGGGCGCTGGTTGAACTGGGAGCTCTCAGGGCAAATGGTGGTGGTGGCCACAAGGCTGGGAAACCACGGAATGTTTTGTGCTTGCCGAAAAAGCCTCCCCTGGCAGCCACTCCGCGCGTTCCTCCTGGCACCGCTTGAAACGACCTGCGTGGCAACAAAGCTGGGAACAGCAAAAAAACCCCCGTGGCTGGGCCTGGCTCAGCCTCCTGCTTCCAGCTCGGAGAAAATCCCACTTGGAACAAAAACAAACACAGGTTTGCAGCCCGGGGAGGGGCTGGTGTTTATCCCCCCTGGGAGCACAGGAGCTCGGGGGGAAGGAGGAGACTCTGCAGTCAGCTGGATGGGGATGGAGAACACCAGGAATCTTCTGGGGTCCTCATCCCTGAGAGATCCAGGTTCATCAGAGAGATCCCTGTCCATCTCTTCCCATGTTTTCCCTGGCTCTCTCCTGGGGTTCAGTCTCTCTGGATTTGGTTTCTCTGCCCATTTTCCAGCCCATTTTAGCCCATTCCTCAGCACATTCACAGCCACAAAATTTAAGGGATCAAGATGATCTCTAAGATCCCTTCCAACCCAAACCACTCTGGGATTGTCTGATCCTGTGTTCCCAAAAGATGCATTTCTCCCCCAGTTTCTTGGGAAAAATCAACTTTGCAGTCAGCTGGATGGGGATGGAGAACACCAGGAATCTTCTGGGGACCCTCATCCCTGAGAGATCCAGGGAAGAGCCATGGAATGGTGTGGGGTGGACAGGACCTTCAATCCCATCTGGTTCCACCTCCTTCCACGGCCCCAGGATGCTCCAAAACTGGTGTTTGTGTCCTTCTCTTCCCATGTTTTCACCCAAGGTGCTCCTGGCTCTCTCCTGGGGTTCTGTCCCTCTGGATTTGGTTTCTCTGCCCATTTTCCAGCTCATTTCTCAGCCCATTCACAGCCACAAAATTTAAGGGATCAAGATGATCTCTAAGATCTGGGTTCTGTCCCTCTGGATTTGGTTTTTCAGCCTGTTTCCAGCCCATTTTCCAGCCCATTTTTCAGCAGTGAAATTTAAGGGATCAAGATGACCTCTAAGATCCCTTCCAACCCAAACCACTCTGGGATTGTCTGATCCTGTGTTCCCAAAAGATGCATTTCTCCCCCAGTTTCTTGGGAAAAATCAACTTTGCAGTCAGCTGGATGGGGATGGAGAACACCAGGAATCTTCTGGGGTCCTCATCCCTGAGAGATCCAGGGAAGAGCCATGGAATGGTGTGGGGTGGACAGGACCTTCAATCCCATCTGGTTCCACCTCCTTCCACGGCCCCAGGATGCTCCAAAACTGGTGTTTGTGTCCTTCTCTTCCCATGTTTTCACCCAAGGTGCTCCTGGCTCTCTCCTGGGGTTCTGTCCCTCTGGATTTGGTTTCTCTGCCCATTTTCCAGCTCATTTCTCAGCCCATTCACAGCCACAAAATTTAAGGGATCAAGATGATCTCTAAGATCTGGGTTCTGTCCCTCTGGATTTGGTTTTTCAGCCTGTTTCCAGCCCATTTTCCAGCCCATTTCTCAGCCCATTTTTCAGCAGTGAAATTTAAGGGATCAAGATGATCTCTAAGATCCCTTCCAACCCAAACCCCTCTGGGATTGTCTGATCCTGTGTTCCCAAAAGATGCATTTCTCCCCCAGTTTTCTGGGAAAAATCAACTTTGCAGTCAGCTGGATGGGGATGGAGAACACCAGGAATCTTCTGGGGACCCTCATCCCTGAGAGATCCAGGGAAGAGCCATGGAATGGTGTGGGGTGGACAGGACCTTCAATCCCATCTGGTTCCACCTCCTTCCACGGCCCCAGGATGCTCCAAAACTGGTGTTTGTGTCCTTCTCTTCCCATGTTTTCACCCAAGGTGCTCCTGGCTCTCTCCTGGGGTTCAGCCTCTCTGGATTTGGTTTTCCAGCCCATTTTTAGCCATTTTCCAGCTCGTTTTTAGCCCATTTCCAGCCCATTTTTCAGCCATGAAATTTAGGGGATCAAGATGATTTCTAAGGTCCCCTGCAACCCAAACCACCCTGGGATTCTCTGATTCTGTATCAGACAAGGTCGTGCTTCCTTGTGCCAAAAAGATTCTTTATCCCCCCAGTTTTTTGGGACAAATCAACTCCCTCTCCCGGTGCTCCTCAAAAACTCTGAACGAAATCACTACAAAAACATAAAACCAGTGTTTTACTCCCCAAAATATCGAGCTTGGCAGGGAAATTCAGCCAACCAAGAGGCTGAAAAACCCGGAGAAAGAGAATTATCGGCGTGTCTGTGTCGCTCCTTGAAACACTCATTGGAAAAGAGGGAAAACAAAGAACTTTGATGGGGGGGGGCAAAAAAAAAAAAAAAAAAAGGCAGAATTGCAGCATGTCAAGGAGAGTCAAGCAACAGCTGAGCTCTGCCGGGCTTTTACTCACGGAGTGGGTCCTGAGGGCCGCGATGGTTTTGGACAGGGCCATCTCCCACAGCTCATCAATATAGGCACGGTTGACCAGGCCCTGCGTGGTGTGCAGGATGTGATCCTCCACCACAAAAAACCTGAAATGCAGAAAACGCCACCGAAAATGCACATCTGAGGGGAGGAAGGACGTCCCCGGGCGGGGCCGGGGCTTCTGGATGCTCTGGATTTGGGGGGGTTCTGTCAAATCCAGGCAGCTCCAAGCACTTTATTCCCTCGATTTTAATTTTTAATTTAACTTTATTCCCTCCACTGGGGTGGAGGAGGGAGGTAAAGCCCTCCCCGTGCCGCTCTGTGTGTGCACAAGGGCAGAATTCCCCCTCCGCGAGCTCTCCACCTCGTTATTCCCACAAGAACCGCGGATTGAACTCTGCTCCAGCCAGCAGGAATCCCGTCACAATGGGGGGAATGCTCTGAGTACAGGGAAAACGGCTTTATCTGCAGGGAAAAATGCTTTAAGTACAGGGAAAACGGCTTTATCTGGAGGGAAAAATGTTTTATCTGCAGGGAAAACTGCCTTTTCTGTAGGGAAAAATGCTTTATCTGTAGGGAAAAATGCTTTAAGTACAGGGAAAAATGCTTTAAGTACAGGGAAAACTGCTTTATCTGGAGGGAAAAATGTTTTATCTGCAGGGAAAACTGCTTTATCTGCAGGGAAAAATGCTTTAAGCACAGGGAAAATATTGGAACTGCAGGGAAAACTGCTTTATTTGCAGAGAAAAACACTTTATCCACAGGGAAAACTTTATTTGCAGGTGAAACTGCTTTATCTGCAGGGAAAAAATGCTTTATCTGTAGGGAAAAATGTTTTATCTGTAGGGAAAACTGCTTTAAGTACAGGGGAAAATATTGGAACTGCAGGGAAAAATGCATTAGCTGCAGGGAAAACTGCTTTATTTGCAGAGAAAAACACTTCATCTGCAAGGGAAAATGCTTTAAGTACAGGGGAAAATATTGGAACTGCAGGGAAAAATGCTTTATCTGCAAAAAAAACCACTTTATCTGCAGGGGAAAATGCTTTAAGTACAGGGAAAACTGCTTTATCTGTAGGGAAAAATGCTTTAAGTACAGGGGAAAATATTGGAACTGCAGGGAAAAATGCTTTATCTGCAAAAAAAACCACTTTATCTGCAGGGGAAAATGCTTTAAGTACAGGGAAAACTGCTTTATATGTAGGGAAAAATGCTTTAAGTACAGGGAAAATATTGGAACTTCAGGGAAAACTGCTTTATCTGCAAGGAAAAATGCTTTAAGTACCAGGAAAACTGTTGGAACTGCAGGGAAAATCCTCTCTCCCACCCAGAACCACCACGTGCTCCCAAATTTCCCGACAATCAATTTGCTCCAGTCTCCAGTTATCGTGACTCTGCTGCTCCATAAAAAGGTGTTTTCCAGGGAATGAGGGTGAGAGTGGGCATTTTAAACACGAATTTCCAGGTGTTTTTTCCCAAGGAAATCCAGCCCAGGAGCAGGGAGCTGCACCAGGGGAGCAGCACACGTGGGATTTGTGGTGGTCTTAATTAGGTATTGCAATTATTCTCCTTATGAGCTGAAGAAGGAACAAATCCTGCCCAATTTTTATGGACTAGCAGCTTTTGGAATTCTCCTCTCGGAGCTCAGTTTGGGAAGGTTTTTGTTCAGATTTGAGTGTGACAAAAAAGCAGCTCTGGGGAATGGAGAATCACCTCCTTCAGCAGGAAAATAATTAAAGAATAATTATTCAATATTCCAGAACCATTAAGGCAGAGGGCCCATTCATGTCACTAGCAGGGCAAGAAAATGAACATAACCCACAGGGATCATTTACCCTCAAATTCCCAGAAATTCCCAGAATTTCCCAGAAATTCATTAAAAAATTCCTAGAAAATCCTAGAAAATCCCAGAAATTCATAACAAATTCCTAGAAATTCCTAGAAAATCCCAGAAATTCATAAAAATTCCTAGAAATTCCTAGAAAATCCCAGAAATTCATAAAAAATTCCTAGAAATTCCTAGAAAATCCCAGAAATTCATAAAAAATTCCTAGAAATTCCTAGAAAAATCCCAGAATTTCCCAGAAATCCCCAGACTGCTCCAAGAGCTGGCAGGTCCCTCCCCGCTCCCCTCAGTGACACAGCAAAGCAGATAAAATTCCCTTTGCAACACTTCAAAAGCACAAACCACCTCTTATTTTTTTTTTTTTTTTGTCTTGTTTTGGCCTCGAGGACCACCAAAAATACCAACATTCCCTCCTCTCCTGGTTTTTTTTTTGGGCTCCTCGGCAGCCCAGGACGCTCATTTTTAGCAGGGCCGGGTATAAAAGGAACACCTACCCTACAATTTGATTGAAATACTTCCTGTAGCCGTCTAAAGTTTCGTGCTGCAACAGAGAGAGAGGGAGCAGAGGTTAAAACCCAGGTGGCCGAGGGCAAGGGGGGATTTTAGGGATGAGCCAGGGGCAGCAGGAGCTGGGGATGAGGTCCCAGGACAAACTGACCATGTTGGAGGGAGGCTGCAGCACCAGCCGCGCTTGTTTTCTCCTCTGCTTCCTGTAGTAGCTCTCAAAGGTCTCCCGGGCTCCCTGGAAAACAGGAAAGGGTCATTGCAGCCCTCAGGATGTGCAGGAAGAGGGCACTTGGAATGGAAATCGTGGAATCGCTGAGGTTGGAAAAGCCCTCTGAGATCTGGGAGTGCAACCATGGCCAGCACTGCCAGGGCCACCAGTGCCCCTGTCCCCAAGGGCCACAGGGATGGGCACTCCAAACCTCCCTGGGCAATCCCAATTCCTGACCCCGCTTTCCACTGGGAAATTCCTGCTGATGCCCACCCTGAGGCTCCCCTGAGGCCGTTCCCTCTGCTCCTGTCCCTGTTCCCTGGAGCACAGCCCGACCCCCCGGCTGTCCCCTCCTGGCAGGAGCTGTGCAGAGCCACAAGGGCCCCCTGAGCCTCCTGTGCTCCAGGCTGAGCCCCTTCCCAGCTCCTCAGCAATTCTCCAGCCCCTTCCCAGCTCCTCAGGAATTCTCCAGCCCCTTCCCAGCTCCTCAGGAATTCTCCAGCCCCTTCCCAGCTCCTCAGGAATTCTCCAGCCCCTTCCCAGCTCCTCAGGAATTCTCCAGCCCCTTCCCAGCTCCTCAGGAATTCTCCAGCCCCTTCCCAGCTCCTCAGGAATTCTCCAGCCCCTTCCCAGCTCCTCAGGAATTCTCCAGCCCCTTCCCAGCTCCTCAGGAATTCTCCAGCCCCTTCCCAGCTCCTCAGCAATTCTCCAGCCCCTTTCCAGCTCCCTCAGGAATTCTCCAGCCCTTCCCCAGCACTGGAGGAGCCCCGTCAGTGCCACCACAGGGGACAAGGGCACTGTCCTGCCCCTCTGTCACCCCAGAGCTGCCACATTCAATGTCCAACCTTGTGTTCCTCCAGCACAAATGCGGGACTTTCCTCCAAAATTCCACTGAAGTACCAGAGGCTAAAGAGTTGATCTGAAAACACCGAGTCCAACCCCGACTGCTCAGGTACAGGAACATTCCATGCCCAGTTCCTGGGATACACAGGGATGTGTCCAGCCGCTTTCTGGACCACAATTTGGGCAAATATTGGATTTATTGCCCCATGAAACAACCAGTGGTGGTGTCAGCAAAGAGAATGAGGGGCCAAAGACACAAAGAGGGGGAAGAAGAGGCCAGCTTGGACAGAGCTTGGAGCACCCTGGGATAGCTGAAGATTCCCTACCCATGGATGGGCTTTGAAGGTCCCTCCAACCATGCCCTCCTGGGATTCTGTGAATTCCAGAATGTGTTTGGGGTACAGAAATCCAGAATCTGTTTGGGGTACAGCATTCCAGAAGGTGTTTGGGGTACAGAATCCCAGAAGGTGTTTGGGGTACAGCATTCCAGAAGGTGTTTGGGGTACAGCATTCCAGAAGGTGTTTGGGGTGCAGAATTCCAGAAGGTGTTTGGGGTCCAGCATTTCATGAGACCACTCCATACCATGGGGAGAATTAAACTCTGCAGCTCATTTTCCCAACTTGCTGTGGCTCTGAGTGTCCAGAGGATTTCCATCCCCACAGCGACCCCTTCCCGTGGCCATACCCCTGGGCTAGGCTCTGAAGGGCCCCTCTGGGGTGATTTGTGCTCCAAATTAGGTGCTCCACCTCAGCATCCCCATCCTGGAGCTCCTCAGGATCCGAGGATGTGCTCCCCCCGGGCCACCCAGCCTGGATGTTTCATCCCTGCCCATCCTCCTCCTCCTCCACACCCGCCCTGTTTTCTGTCTGAAATTGGATCACAAACATCTCAGGGAAGGGACAACGTCTTGCTTTGAACTGTTGAGAGCCCAGGGAGAGAGAGAAAAAAAAATAAAATAAAATAAAACCAACCCAACTCCACCTCATTTAGAATTCACAAAACAAACAACATGCAACAACAAATATCACGTGAGCGAGGCACCAGCTGTCAACCTGCTCCTCTCCAGAAAATAAATTAATTAAAAGCAAAACCTGATGGTAATTTAATGATTCTCCAGCTGTTGTGGCATTATACAACCAGGCTGCCTCGGGATGCCCTCAGCCACCGAGGGCTTGTGAGGAGCCATAGCCTGACTTGCTCCTTGTTTTCTCCAAGTGCAGCTCCAGGCTCCGGCAGGAATCAGCCCAGGGATGAGCCCAGAGCTCTCCCACCTAATTCTACCCTTCCCAAAGGTGCCAAAATCCATCAAAAAACCTTTATAGGTGCTAAAATCCATTAAAAAAAACCTTCTTAGGTGCTCAAATTCATCCCCAAAACCTTCTCAGATCCTAAATTCCAGCTGCAAGACCTCCTTACATGCAAAAATCCATCCCCAAAACCTTCTAAGGGCCTAAAATCCATCCCCAAAACCTTCTTAGGTGCAAAAATCCATCCCCAAAACCTCCTTAGGTGAAAAAAATCCATCTCGAAACCTTCTCAGGTCTTAAAATCCATCCCCAAAACCTTAGGTGAAAAAATCCACCTAAAAAACCTTCTCAGGTCTTAAAATCCATCCCCGAAAACTTCTTAGGTGCAAAAATCTATGTAAAAACCTTTCTCAGGTGCTAAAAACATCTAAAACATCTTTTTAGGTTTAACTCAAATCCATCTTCAAGACCTTCTTGGGTCTTAAAATTCATCCCCCAAAAACCTACTAAGGTCCTAAAATCCATTTTAAAAAACCTTTTCAGGTGCTCCAATCCATCCCGAAGACCTGCTTGCCGCTGTGCAGGTGGACTGCAAAGGGATGTGGAGATTTTAAACATGGATTTTGTCCTCGAATTCTGCTTTTTGTCCTGGCTGAGGTCCCAATCCATGCTGGCCACATCCAGCCACCCTGGCAAATCTGGATCACAAATCCCAGCTTTTCCCCTGCAATCAGGTTCAGGACCAACCTGAATCTACGAGAAATTTGGTATTTTAAGAAAGATTTTAGAACCAGAAACTGTGAACCAACATTTCCCTGTCAGGTGTTCCCAACACTCCCAAAAGCTGTTTCCCACAGGAAAGGGAAGGATCCCGAGGCAGAAATCAGGGATCCACAGGTGAGACCCAAAAAGATGAGGATTATTACAATTTTATCAACCCAAGGGGTAAAATTAGGTGGTGCCTGAATTTAAAAAGTGATAAATTCCATGCAGGGAGCAGCCACCTCCCTTTGAGCCCCTCTCCATGGCTTGAAGTTTGGTGATTCTCAGGATCCTGGTGTTGCCCTTGTCCTCTCCACCACAGGAAAACCGTGGAAAATGGGATTCTCCCACTCCCACCCCACCACTGAGGGACCAAGGCAAAGGGATTTATTAAATTCTGCTGGGCCTTGGCTCTCCAAACCTCCACAAGCAGCACAACTTCTCCTGATCATCTCCATCCTGATCAACCCAGACACTCCAACCTTGGAGTGTCAGTGATGCCACTCATTAAGCTGGAGGAAATTACCTAAATAATTGAATTTTGGAGCCAATTTAAAACTGAAGGTGTTTTTTCAACCATTTCTTTAAGAAATGAACATGTGGCACCATCAAAGGCAGGAGCACAGCGAGGCTGAGCCACCACCAACAGCAGGACCATGGTTGGACACTCACACCAAACTTCTCATTTATGGTGCACCATCCCCTGGAAATTAATGAGTAATTAATTCATCACTGGGCTCACAGAAGCTGCCGTTTCCTCAGTATTTTGTGATGGCCTCAAGGACTTGTTGGACTCTCCAAGAGCTGCTCACCAGGAGCAGGAGGCCTCAGAGCAGTTTTAAGAGCAGATTTTGGAGGTTTCTGCTGAGACTGCACCAAATCCAGGCAGATCTGGGATCATTCCCTCATCCCCCAGCTCCAGGATCCTGGATCCTCACCCACAATTTCCTTCAGGAAGGAAAGGACAAGGAGCCATCCCACACCCAGCTGCAGTTCCAGTGTCCCACCATGGCCGTGTCCAGCCCAATTCCACAGAATTCCAGATTGGTTTGGGTGGGAAAGGACCTGAAAGATCTCCTCATTCCACCCCATGCATGGGCAGGGACACCTCCCACTGTCCCAGGTGGATCCCAGCCCCAATGTCCAACCTGGCCTTGGGCACTGCCAGGGATGCAGGGGCAGCCACAGCTGCTCTGGGAATTCCAGCCCAGCCCCTGCCCACCCTCCCAGGCAGGAATTCCTTGCCAAGATCCCAGCCCAATCTCCCCTTTGCCAGTGGGAGCCATTCCCTGTGTGCTGTCCCTGCAGGCCTTGTCCCCAGTCCCTCTGCAGCTCTCCTGGAGCCCCTCCAGGGACTCTGAGCATTCCCTGGATTTTTCCCTTCTCCAGGGAAACATTCCCAGCTCTGCCAGCCCGGCTGAGCAGCTCCGGGGCCTCCTCTGGGCTCTCTCCAGCAGCTCCCCACCATTCCCACAGGGATTTTTCCCCACCAGCTCCTCGGGAGCACCACAGGATGGGGGAGCTCCCCAGGTCCTGGGGGTCAAGGGAAGCACAGGAACCAAAATTCCCAAGCCCACTCCTCAGCTCCTTCCCCACAAACCCCAGGCCGGGTCTCCATCCCGGTGTTAGCCATGGCTCCGAGGAGGGCGAAGCACCTGGAGCAGCTCCACCACAACCTCTGGAAGTTTAAATTCCTTTGGAATCTCTTCCAGAGGAACAGATTTCCAGGCAGGAGAAGCAGAAGTGAGCGGAGCTGGGCTGGAGGTGCCACAGGAAGGCTCCACAACAACCTGACTCTCATCCTTGGCTGGATCCTCCTCAGCCTCACAAGGTTTTGGGTGTCACCTCCTCCTTCCAGCCCAACAAAGGGAACTGCATCAGAAGGGAAGGAACAGAAAAGGCCTTTGAAACCATTCCCAAAAAGAAAATCAGAGAATCCTATTCACATTTTAACAGTTTCCCCAAAATTTATGGCCCAGGGACCTGCCGGCGTGACCAAACCCATCCCCTCACGGCGCTGCTCCCCGGGTTCTCTTTCCTGAGCCATTTTTGGCTGCCCCAGGAACCAGGGACTCTCTCACAAGAGGTTCCTCCAACAAAAACTTCATCCTCCCCACAACCCCTCTCGTGACCCTGCTCCCATTTTTCATCCTCCCAGTTCCATCTCTTTCTCC